TGTGCTGGGTACACAGCAAGGGCTGCGCCCGCGGTAAGCGGGCCGCTACTCTAAGTCCCCTCCAACCCCTTCCCATCTCAGAGCCTCGTTAGGAAGGACGCCTGGAGCCCTGAGGGCGTCCCGCAGGTGCAGCCAATCCACCCACCGCAAGGGGCCCAGGGTGCGCAGCAAGGAAACACGGGCTCCCGAGGATACGCTGGACGCCGCGCCCCTCCCCTGTCCCACCGCGCCCCGGCCCAGACTCACTCGCGCCCCGAACTCTCCCCGAGCACCGCCCGCCACACCCAAAGCCCAATCACGTGCATCCACCTCACCTCAAAACTCCACACAGACCCCGTTCCCCAACACAGGCCCTTCCTCCCCTGGCCCCTGGAGAGGAGCGCTTGGCAGACGGTGCACAGGAAGCCTCTCCTTACCTTTGCCTCCCGCAGCTCCTCAGGAAACCGAGCTGTCACTGCGCGGCATCCCAGAGCCACACGGGAGCCAGAGGAATCCCAGCACTGGTCTGTGCAAAGAGGAAAGTCACAGGGCGCAAACGCGCATGCACCTCGCGGCCTGACAAAGAGGGCAGAGGCCTGCGGGCCACGGTGGGCGGTGCAGGACGTGCGGTCACAGTTCAGAGAAGGTGGTGGCCCCTCGTGGCTAAACTGATTAACCCTAACCCTAATCCTAATCCCAACCTCTAACCCTAACCGTATCATTCCCGAACACTTTTCCAAAAACCTAACCCTAAGAGTAACGTTTGCCCCTGACTGTAATCCCTCACTTTCCCCATCAACGTTACCCACACCTCACCATAACACACAACTTCAATCTCACCCTCACCCTAAAATTAAACATGAACCATAACTTTATACTGTAACCCTATCATCCCCGTACACCTTACCAAAAATCTAACAAAAACCTTAACCCTGGCCCCTGACCCTAACCCCTCATCGTCACCAACAATGTCACCCACACCTCACCGTAACACTAAACCTAAATCTTGCCCTCAGCGTAACATTAAATCCGGACCCTAACTCTAATCGTAACCCTATCCTTCCCGTACACCTTACCAAAATCTAACCCTAACCCTAGCTCCTGATCCTAACCCCTCACCCTCGCCATTAGTAGGGAAACTGGACTGACACTACCTCACCCAGTGACCACAGTTAATGTGAGCAGCAATAAGTTGCCTTGAGAGTATTGAGTTCAGAAACAAACTGCATCAGCCTAGAAACCTAGAGGAACTGGGTGATTTCCCAGTAAATGTGCCCAGTAACAGAATGCGCCCTAGAGCAAGGAAAATACAAGCATACTAATTAGCCATCCAGGGCCCTCCTGTCACTGTTCTAGGGCTTCCTCTCCCCAGACTGGGAAGGAACCAGGACAGAGCTGTATGGCAGCCCCCATGAGATGTGGCCCCACGCAATGTCTTCATTTCTCCCAGGCATGCCCCACCCAGGAAGGACTCGAGGTGGAGGGAGTCTCAGGAATCATTGACTTTGATATGTCAACTAGGAATTTTTTTATTGCAAGACAGTGTACACACCTACTGAAGTAGAATAAATTATTTCTTAATGGAAAAATATGAGGCAAGTTTAAGATCGGGTTACGGCCTGGCAGGTCCAGGTGTTCACACTCTCACAGTGTGACCTGGACCTTCTTCCAACCCTCCAATGTAATATGTGCCTTTGGGATGGCCCCATTCATAGGCACAATCTCTTCTGCTGCATCTGGGAACTTCAGCAGCTACAGGCGGACACCCACTCACTGTCCATTCTAGCAAGAATGGTTTCTCCTTCACTGGGGATCTATGAAAAGCCACAAGTTTAAATGCCTTTAGCCTGGCTTGTTCACATTCTCATCACTGAACCCATCAGAGCGCCCAGAGGATAGAATGTGTGGCTGGCTAGACTGGGATCATAGCCCATCATCAAGATGATTAGAATGTGGGGTCTGCCTCTGCGACTGCTTGTACTAGAGCAGGTGAGATGTGGTTCCCAGGAAAGCTGAGGTGCTGGACATGGCATAAGAACAGATGCCAGGTGGGGAAAGCAGCAGATTCAACATCACTGATGGACCAGTGCAGCTGTGGCAAACCTGAAACCCAAGGAGGAGGGGACTCACTGAAAGCTGGGCTACAGCCACCACCCAGGCAGTGCTCCTGGTGTCCTCCCACAGAGGCAAGAAGCTCTCCACTTACAAAAAGGTAGTGTTGCTGTTGGTGGTAAATGCAAGGCTCCTGTCTCAGGTGTCAGGTCTTGGCATCTCCAGATGGGCCCAGAATAGCCCCTGTGCCCTCCAAAGGCACAAAGGCATCACTTATGTCCCTGGGAGGTAGGAGCCCGGGAGTCACACCTTACCCCTGACCACATTCCTCACCCATCCCCAAAGAACAAGTTGGCTCATTTTCAGTCACCTCTCCCTCCTTCAGAAAGAGCAGAGACCAAAAGCTAGAATGGTAAGGAGATTATTGCTCAGTGAGGGAGGGAGAGTCTCAAAGATTATTCCATGCCCTAGAATCCAGTTTCCTGCCTTTCTGGAGGCCCCAGTGGCTGAGCCAAGGTAGCCAGTGGCTCTACAAGACCACGCATTGAGAAGCTCCCTGCTTGGAGACACACTCACTCTCATGTACTTAATTCTCAAAAGGTGTGGAAGACACAGGTTTTTTACAACCATCAGGCCAAAGGATGGCAGGACCACAGGCCGCTGCACAGTTGTTGAGCTAGGGCCACATTCAATGTTTGGAGGGTTTTAACCTCTCTTGGCAGACTAACAGGCGGTCACGGAGGAGGCGCTTGCCTCAACCACAGGGATGTGGGGAAGTGAAACATCCCAAGGGTTTGTTCTACACCAGCAGCAAGGTCAGCTCAGTAATTGGCATGGGGGCTCTTTTTTTCAGGTTTTCGGTTTTGGCTTGGTTTTACTTATGTGTTATTTATGAGGCCTTCTTAGACCTACATTATTTAAACATGCTTTCAGATTTAAAACTCTCCCAGTGATTTTTCTAATATACCTATTATTCCATTTGTTGTGTTTAAATATTTGAACTATATGTAATTTAATTTTGCATCTAGACACTGTCTCATCAGAATTTACTTAATTACATACGCTTCCCCTCAACATATTGTGATATTCACCTTATCCAAAACGGTAGTATATTTCTCACTAAAAGTGGATTTTATATGGAAGATCACTGGTGGAACTCAGAGGACGTTCCAGAGACTGACTGAAGTCTGGCAGAGCAAAGAGCCTTTGTCAGGACACATGGTGTCCGCGTCCACCCTAAAGACCAGCCGGCCGTTCAGCCCCAGGTTCAGCCTGGGCTGCACGGTCGCCGCAGCTGCAGCTTCACGGGTCCCATCCCAGCGCCAGAGGCCAGGCACGAAAACCGCCAGAGTGCGCCTGCGCGCAGGACGCTTCCTGATAGACACGCGCATTAGCCAAAGTAGCCAATCTCCACAGCAGAGGCAGGCCAGCCCGCTCCGCCCACCTGAGTCCAGGACTGGGTTCTGCTTGTGACTGACAGGCACGGCTTGCCCTACAATCCGCCTTCCCATTGACGGTCCCTCCTGGCCTCCCATTGGCGGGACCGCTTTGGTCACAGCCCTGATTGGCAGGTTGTGCCTGACAAGGCACGGCAAACCCATACCTCGCCTCCACCGACGTCTCATCTTCCAGAGAGCGGGAATCACGCGGACATCGCAGAGAGCGCCCCTCCAGGTTGGGTAGCGTGGGAGCAATGCCGGGGAGACCATGAGGAAATTGGGAGCCTTTGCCGTGCCGTGTGAAAAACTTTATGAACCCTCCACCCTAAACCTTAAAATTCCAGCCTGAAAGAACTCAGATTCCCTCACCCTGAGAGAGTCCAGATCCCCTCAGCCTCACAGGACACCAAATCCCGCCACTTTGAGGGATCCTAAATCCGCTAACCTGGAGGGATCTCACATCTCCTCAGCGTGAGGAGCACCTCACCCAAACCACCTCATCTTCAGAGAACTCAGAGCCCTTCACCCAGAGAAATACTAAATCCCCTAAGGCTTAGACCCCTCCCCACACCCTCAGTAACCCCAGCAACCCTCAGCCTGAGGCACGCCCCAAACTCTCTGCCCCAGTAAACCTGACTAGAGCACCTACAGAGAGAACAAACTTCCTCAGCCTCAGAGACCTTACATACCGGAAGGCTGAGGACTATTAATTTCCCTTCAGCTTCAAAAACTCAAACTAACCTCAACATTAGAGGTCCTAAGTCCCCTTAATGAGAGACTCCAAATTTCCTTAGCTTGACAGACCTCAAATTTCCTAGACTCAAAGATCTAAAGTCCTCTCAACCTGAGCATTCTAAATCCCTTCAGCCTGAGAGTCCAAACCCTGTCCTGAGTGACGGCAAATGCCATCAGCCTACGGGATCCCAATTCTCCTCAGCATGAGACCCCAAATCCCCTCACTCAGAAACCACAATTTCCTCAGCCCAAGATCTGTGTTCCCTAGAGACTGAGACAGCTTTACACCCAGATTTCTCCAGAATCCACAGGTGGAGAGCCCCAGATCTTTGCAAAATATTCCTTTCCTCTTGCTGGATCATTTCCATAATTGTCAGCCTGACCCCAGTCCTGGCATCCAGTGCTCCGCATCTCCCTGCAACTCCTCCAGCCGTGCCCTCTGAGGACTGCCCTCAAACACCCGCAGCAGGGCCCTCCAGGCACCTTCACCGCCTTTCCTGAGAGGGCCTGAGCTGCAGGGAACTAAAGAGACAAAATTCAGCTCATGTTAGGCTGGTTGTGGCCACTGGAGATGCTCCCATCCCACCAATGCCCCCCCACCGTCTTTCCCCACTGGGTCCCCACATCTTCCTGCCCTGGACAGGAAGACAGACCTGCATCAGGGCAGTGGTCTGGGCTGTCACCCCCTCTCAGCACCTTCTCCCTTCACAGGTGCCTTGGCTTTGGGGCTGGAAGACTTAGGGACACTTGCTGACATCAGAGTCCCAGCAGGACCTGCCTGGCCGTCCCAGCACCATGAGCTCTGAGAGGTCCCTGGAGGAGAACAATGAGGGACACTCAAAGGCAACGAGCTGGAAGGCCACGGTGAGAGGTGTGGGAGGTGAAGCCAGGCTCCAGATGGGGTCTGTAATAAGGAAGGGAAAAGGGGCTCGGTGACAAGGAGCCTGCACCAGTAGGCGACCCTCTCTGTGAGTGCATGCAGGATGTCTGAGACATGGGGAGAAAACAGCACCCTAGCATCAGCAACTGCTCCACATCAGGGGAGGGATGGGAAAATTCTCGCTTGGTGTTTGCACAGTAATTCAGGACCCAGTCAGGAGACAGAGTCTTCACCCTTATTTCAGAGACCACCCAGCGGCCTCAGGCTACATAGACCCTACATGCAAGATGGAGCAGAAGGCCATGCTCACAGTTCTGACTTGCATTAGTAAATCACTGATGGAACCTATTATTTTCTCTAGGCCAGAGATGCTTTCAAAGACATTTCCATATACTTCTCCAGGAAAGAATGGACAGAGATGGGAGACTGGGAGAAAATCCGATACAGGAATGTGAAAAGGAACTATGAAGCACTGGTCGCTATAGGTAACACGACATGTGGAGTGCAGAGTAGCCTGGGAAGCAAGTGTTCAACCCCTGCATCCGTCTGGCTCTCTCTTAGGTGGCTCTGTCTGCCCACAGTTCCCTTCTGTGTGGAGACAAACCCAGAGGGAAATGCTCTCTGTATCAGTGTGCGGCCAGTACCGACAATGCGGAGCTCACCTCCTGCCCTACTGTAGACCCTCCTGGCACATCCGACTGAGTCGCTATGACTCTATGGTGCTTTCATTTCTTGCTGTGCTTTGTTCTTTCTTCCACCTCTTGCCTTTTAGGACAAAGATTTTGCTTCTTCCAGGTCTCAGATCTCCTCGACCAGCTTTCATGTGTCGTCGCAGGCAGGCCATCAAGCCCCAGGTGGATGACACTGAGGATTCTGATGAAGAATGGATGCCCAGTCAGCAAGGTGAGGATGCAGGAGGATTTAAAGGTGTCCTGAAACTGACCTGGGTTCAGGTACCAGCTGTGTCTCAGGAGTTAACGAAAAAAACTATTTCCTCAAAAATACAGATGTTCTCAAAGCAAGCAAGATATTATACAGTAAGAGGCTATTCATACAAAGTTTTTAAATGGGTAAAGTAATTATATATGTTATTTAAAGATATATTAATAAGCAACAGATGTATAACATTCTGAATGTGAATAAGAAATACCAAATTCAGAATAGTTATCATCACAAGAGAAGAATTTAATTACTTTAGATATCTCATGTAAGTATTTGTCATTTGTCATTATTTTATCTTATTTAGCATAACGTCCTCAAGGTCCATCCATGACGTAGCATATGACAGGATTTCCTTCTTTTTTTAAGGCAGAATAATATTCCTCTGTGTGTGTGTGTGTGTGTGTGTGTGTGTACCACATTTTCTTCACCCATTTATCCATCATTTAGGGTGCTTTCATACCTTGGATACTGTGAATAATGCTGCAGTGCCCATGAGTGCGGAAATGTTTATTCAAGATCCTGTTTTCAAATTCTATTCATATGTACCCAGAAGTTGGATTGCTAGATCATAGTGAAGTTCTATTTCTAATTATTTGAGGAAACTCAATACTGTTTTACATAGTGGCTGCAACACTTTACATTTCAACAAACAGTGTGTAAGTGTTTCAGTTTCCCAACATCCTTGTCAACACATGTTACTGTATGTTATTTTCATACTGGCCATCCTAACAGGTATGAGATGACATGTCGCTGTGGTTTTCATTTGCATTTCCATGGTGATTATTGATATTGAGCATCTTTTCATATGTTCGTGGGCCATTTACACGTATCTTCTTTGGAGAAATATCTATTCAAGTCCGTTTTCCATTGTATTAGTCAGCTTGGGTTGCCATAATGAAGTACCATAGAATGAGTGACAATCTACAGAAATTTGTTTTTCTCACACTTCTGGAGACTGGAAGTCCAAGATCAAGGTGCTTTCATAGTCAAATCCTCGTCCTTGCTTTTAGGCAACGTCCATCTTGCTATGTGTTGGTACTCTTCTTTGTGCATATTCTTAGGTAGAAAGACACAGATCTTTCTCTTCTTCTTGAGGAGACCAATCCCATCATGGGGGCCCCACTCTCATGACCTCATCCACCCCTAGTTAACTCCAAAATGCTCCATCTCCAAATACACATTGGGCGTTAGGGTTTCAACATAGGATTTTTGGAGGGACACAATTCAGTACATAGCACCCAATTTTTAATTAAGTTACTTTTTTTTTTACTATTGAATTGTAGGAGTTCCTTATAAATTCTGGATATTAAACCCTTATCACATGTATGTTTTACAAATACTTCCTTCCATTTTACAGGTGGCCTTTTCACTGTATTGACTGTATCCTTTGTTTCACAGAAATCTTAAGTGGTCTTATCTATTTTTTTGTTGTTGTTTCTTGAGCTTCTCATGTCATATCCCAGAAATCATTGCCAATTCCAATGTCATGAAGTTTGCCCTTGTTTTTCCCTAAGAGTTTTATACTTTGAGGTCTTCCATTTGAGCTGATTTTTGTATATGACATCAAAAAAAGGGCCCCTCTTCATTCATTTGCATGTAGACATTCTCAGCACCACCATTTCTTGAAGAGACTGTGTCCTTTCCATTTACTGCGTATTCTTTGATTTCTTTCAGCAATGTTCTGTGATTTTCAGTGTGCAAGTGTTTCACTTCCTTAATTAAGTTTACTCTTAATTACTTCACTCATTGTGTTGCTGTTCAAAATGGATTGTCTTCTTAGCTGCCTTTTTAGATTGTTCCTTGTTAGTGCATAGAACTACAAGTCATTTTTGAGTGTTAATTTTGTATCCTGCAACTCTGATGAATTTGTTAGTTCTAACAGAATTTTGGGAAGAATCTTTATGTTCTTCTACATATGAGATCCACAACCAGACATAATCTTACTTTTTCTTGCCAAGTCGGATTCCTTTTATTTCCTTTCCTTGTGTGATTCCCTGGCTCGGTCTGGCAGTATTATTCTGAATGGAAGTGGCAAGAGTGGGCATCCTTGGCTTGTTCTTAATCTTACAAGAAATGCTCTCATTTTTTCACTATTGAATATGATGTTGGAGGTGGACTTTTCATATTTGACTTTTATTATAGTGAGGTAATTTCCTTCTACTCCCAGTTTGTTCGGTATTTTTGTCAAAAAAGGCCAATTTATTATTTAATGATAAATTCAATAGATAATTTATGAACATAGGAAGAAATATAAATGACATTTTCTCTAGTTTTTAAACATTTTTTTAAAATTAGTTGATGACCCCAATAGAAAGCCTCGATGATACTTCGGAAACCATTTTCCGATCGCCCTTCAATACTCCTTGTACTCATCACTCTAGTTCAGACTGCCGTGTCCCTAATGCGAATTTCCAGAGTTTGGAAATATTTATGAACTGAAACATTGATTTTTAATCACCTTTAGTCAAACCTCCTTGGGTGACCTTCAGAGTGGAACAGAGTAAACACCAGAAGGTGAGTATTTCCTAAATCCTGATGACAAGAAAATCTTTCTCATGGACCCAAACACAGGTAAGAGTAGAAGAAGGCACTGAGTGTGCTAGAAACTGCTGCCTTCCTTTCCTGATCCCTTCTGCACAATGTCTGCTATCATTTTAATAGCTAATAAGAACAGCAACAGTAGTAGCTACCACTTATTTCTATTTTCACAATATTTCAGACTTTATTTTAAGCATTTTACATGAATAACCTGACTTGAACCTGGCAGTAACCCTATGAGGTAGGTACTATAACCATCACCATTTACAGATGAGGAAACTGAGATAAAGAAATGTTTGCTTATATGCCTTGTATCACAGTTTCAGTGGTAGTGAAATCTGATCCAAAGCTCCTTCTCTAAACCACTTACAAGCCCATTGAAACTTTCATAGTTGTCTAAAACTCACACTGCTTTATTCATAACTCCACTCCTCTTAGTGGTTATTACAATTTAAGCTCCTGTCTGCTATGTTAAAAGGAGAGATGTGCTGAGACCCTCTGACTAAGGGAAGCTTACAAACAAATGGGCAGTAGTGACACTGAATAGTCCCATATGAAGGAGATAGGATCCCCACCCTTACAGCCCCTCAACTCTAATCAAAAGAAGCATCTCCCAGCCCAGAGGAACTCCAGGTTTGATGATTGAGGAACAACAAATAAGAAAATACCTTAAGGACTTCATATAGGTTACACACTATTCAGCCAAAACACATCCATCTGGCACTACTTTCAAATGCTCATTCTTGTAGGAGGAAGTGAGCCTTTCCTCCGAGCTCTAATTAGGCAATCACACGTTATTTGTAATCATCTGTGTAGCCTGCCTCTGAAATGTGGGTTTTTTGAGAACCTTGTTCATATGTGACTTCTCAGAAGTCCAAGGTCCTGTATATTTTCTGAGTAATTTGCATTAAACTAGATCAAATTAAACTAGATGTAAGAGTGTCAAGGAATGCTGAATATAGTATCTATAAGATAGATTTCAAATATGGAGACAAGGAGGTAAGTTGATAGCAAGACTAATCTCACATTCGTGCTGTATTAGCTCACAAAATAATTTGGTCTCAAAACATTATGACATTTCATGTTCATTATAACATTAAGAATTCACATATATGCCAGTTTATGGGTCAGGAAACTGAGGAAAACTAGCTAGTGTTAAAACCTTATTCAGACAGAATTGACAATAACCAGCTAATCCAATTCCAGATATTCTTTCCAGGATATGGCAATCTGCAACTTTTGCCATCTTTTCTTCATCACCTCAATACATTTCTGCCAACAGTTTCTCAGTTCTCTTCCCAATATCACTGTTTGGTTACCTCATTTTCCAGATGTATTTGATACCCTCTGTACATTTCTGCATTTCCTCTTCCATAAAAGGTCCACTCATTTGTAAAAAATCACCTATTTTCTCTATAACTCTCACCCCCGTCTTTCACAGACCCTGTTGATTCTCTAGCCTTCCCAAGTATCCTCCCTCTCTTACTCTCACCTTTTTGGAGAGATTTTAAACAAAACTGAATAGGAAGATCTTAAGACAAGGGTTCTACTACAAAGGGAAACAGAAGGAACAAAATAGCAGCAGACTCACAGACACTGAGAAGGGAATAGTGGTTATCAAGGGGGAGGGAGGGGACAGGGGGGAAGGGAAAGGGGATTAAGGGGCACAGTAATAGTTGGTCACGGGGACGGTAGTACCGCACAAAGAATACAGCTAATGATTCTGCAACATCTTAATACATCGATGATAGTGACCACATGGAGGGGGTGAGAACTTGATAATATGGGTAACTGTTGAACCACTGTATTATATACTTGAAACCAACATAATATTGTATACCAATGATACTTCTAATTTTTAAAAAATACAGGGGTTCTACTCTTGTTTTCACTGCCCACTTAGGCCCTTTCTTTTCCCCCTATTATTCCGATTCCCCTGGTATTTGCAAGGGTTATTAAAGTATTAACTAAAGTCATGCATGTGAAAACACATCACAAGCCTTAAAGAAGTAAATGAATGCATATTGTCTTAATATGTAACTCTCCCATTGAAGGGCACATCCAAGGCGTCACTACGTAATGAATCTAGTTTGAAGGAATTCTCAAAAACAGCAAACTTTCTGAACATAAGTGGCTCAGAGCAGGCCCAGAAGCCAGTATCCCCTCCTGGAAAAACAAGTACCTCTGGATATCACTGTAGACGAAAAATGGGTAAGAAGAAAAACTTTAGTCCCTCTCAGTCCTTTAGAAAGTGATGAATATGGTGAAAGCATGTGGTTTAAACTTGGATAGGCCTGGGTTTAAGCTGGACTAACCTGAGGCTTGAAGTTAGCACTCGGGCCTTGGGCAAATCTTATAAATTCTCTGAGTTCCTGAATGTTAATTTGTAAAGTGAAGATAAGAATACATAGCTCAGGTATTGTTTGAAAACATTAATTTAAAAATAAAAGAATTGGCCTGTGCAAGTTGTCCAATAAATCCATCTGTGATAACAGACCATACTTTCTTGGTATTGTATGCCCAGACCTTTGTTTAATGCCTACCATGTTACATGCCCTCAACAAATATTCTCTGGATGAATAAAAGTGTGAATGAACCATTTTCTAAGTACAAAGTTTGGGAAGTTTAACCGGATAATGACAATAGCCGAAATTGACTTAAGCATCTGTATCAGTGTAGAATCCTAGTCTCCCTAGTTAACAGGGTGAAAACCAGAGTGTGTAGAAGGACAAGGGTTCATTTGATGGGAAAGTCCATTTTTGGCCAAACAGGGACTAACATTCTGGACCTCACCAACCTCACTTGCCTACTCTTCTCCAACTCAGAACGTGGAAGAAAGGAGACTGAAGTAAAGACATATAGCCTGCGAGAAAGAAAGGTCTGCGCATACCAAGAGGTCAGCGAGCCCCAGGATGACGACTACCTCTGTAAGTGACCATTTTGGCCCACTCACAGAGAAGGCTGTTGTGTCTTGGTACAATAATTTCATCTCGTTGTTTGGTCCCCACATTATTCCCTTCCTCTAATGACTTGGAGTACAGGACTGAAGCTAAACAGTGTGAGTGCCTGCACTCCTTCTGAAGCTCTTTACGTCCAAGAACATGCACTATGCTTTCCCTAACCCCTCTTGCTCTCACCTCCAGATTGTGAGAAGTGTCAGAACTTCTTCATTGACAGTTGTACTGCTCATGGCCCCGCTACATTTATAAAGGACACTGCAGTGGACAAGGGACATCCCAACCGCTCAGACCTCACTCTGCCCCCTGGGCTGAAAATCAGACCATCAGGCATCCCTGAGGCTGGGCTTGGAGTGTGGAATGAAACATCTGATCTGCCATTGGGTCTGCACTTTGGCCCCTATGAGGGCCACATCACAGAAGATGAAGAGGCAGCCAACAGCGGGTATTCCTGGCAGGTTAGAATCATCTGTCTCTTCCCCTGTCTCTAGTTTCCTACGTCCCTCTTGTGGATTGATGGGACCTGACCTTCTACATGCCAGAACATTGATGGAGATAACATGGTCAGCTCTGTGTAATGGGCGGACTTTGCATCAACATGGAGCTACTAGGTAAAGATCAGAGGGTAGGTGGGAGCACAGAAGTACAGACATAGACAAATGGCTCCTCCCTTGCAGGGCCCTTGCTCTGAGTGGGCAAATTGATTCAGATATGTCGATGATGGCTGATGAGCATGTCACATTCAGTTGGTGACTGAATCCATGAAGGATGAAAGCACATTGATAACAATACGGTATAACACTTCTTCTATTACCTCCCTCATAAAAAAATCCTTTAACTTCTCTTTCTGGAATTCAGATCACCACAGGAAGAAACTCCTATAAGTATGTGGATGGAAAGGATAAATCTTGGGCCAACTGGATGAGGTAAGGCCAAATTTTCTGAGTTTCAGAGAGGATATTCGACTCTCACAAGCCCACACTCCTTCCCTTCTCATCATGCCTCCCTCAGTTGTCTCCCTCAAGCCTCTGTTTCTCTGTTTACTCCGTACAGTGTTTTATTTTAAGAGTTATTTAGAAAAAAAACAAGAAATCAAATGATAGTATGTGTCCTAAAATATAAATCTCTACGCTATACAAAATTTCAGCCCTAGAGGAAACCTTGAGGAGCCTAGATTCACACACTTCAACTTATCTAATCAACGCTTATTAGGCACTTACTATGTTCCAGTTCAGACAGGGGAGTTCTTTAACTAAACACATTAAATCCATGTCCTTATGGAGGACATATTGCAGACAAACACATTAAAAAATTGATGTCAAGAAGATTTAACTATAATTTTCCTATTTTTTCAAGAAGTGCACAGTGCCAAGATAAATTAAAACAAGGGAGGGCAGCAAATCTTTAATCTGTGAGGGCAGAAAATCTTCTTAAATTCACTTCTAATTAGAACTGGGTTCTGAAGCCTGAGTACAAATAAGTTGAAGTATGGCCACGGGCCTCTGGGCTTTATGACCCAGCCCCTTCCCTTACCAGGGGGATACAGAATGTGAATGAACTACTGTTGTCCTGTGCTATTATGCTAAGGCAAAAGGACCTCCATTTTCTACAGAAACCCGGAGGAAGCAAGTAAATGGTACCTTAAATAAAGGGTGGAGAGATTGGACAAAGGCATCTTAAAACAGGATATGAGTTAGGCTGATATGTGCTAATCTAGAAGCAGCGTTGATAATCAAGCACAAAGGTATGTGTTACACAACAGACTTAACTTAGAGAGGCTAAACATCTGTGATTTTATGGCAAAATGAGGTGGAAATTAAGTATGAAATTAGGCTTTGGAAAATACTTAATTAGGCAAGGGAGGAAAGCATTCTAGACAGGATGAACACAGTAAGAAAGACTTGGCAATAAGAATTCACATGATATTGCGAAAGAGACTGAGGTATGTACAGAAGCTTCCCCAGGAACAGTGAGGGGAGGGGGCAGCGTCCAAGCCAGCCATAAACACCGGGCATGGAGCTGGACGTGGACATGGTAGGTGGCGGGAACTCACTGCCGGTGGTTTCTTCCCTTTTGCCCGCTGTGATCCCAGGTACGTAAACTGCGCCAGGGACGACGAGGAGCAGAACCTGGTGGCCTTTCAGTATCACAGTCAGATCTTCTACAGAACGTGCCAGCTCATCAGGCCGGGCAGTGAACTACTGGTCTGGTATGGAGATGAGTATGGCCAGGAGCTGGGCATCAAGTGTGGAAGCAAGTGGAAGGGAGAGCTCACAGCACAGAGAGGTGGGCACCACTGTTCTTTAAAATGGAAAGAAATTAAAAGATTCTTGGGAATTTCATAGTCCAACTCTTAAGAAGAGTAAAATCCAGAATAAAGTCAGTAAAATTGCAATTCAGATGCTTCAGAAATTAAGGATTTCATATGCCTTTGACACTTAGGAACAGTTTTTACTTTTAAAATTTTTTGCTCTGATTTTTGTAATACTTTGTGCATGAGATATATCACAGCATAGAGTACTGGAAGACTTAGGGGCACAAAAAATGAGTTTTCAAGCACCTACCAGCTCTCTCCCCAACACAGTTTTTTTTGGCCCTTTTAGCTGCTGCTTCTTAATTTGTTCCATATTTCTGAATGATATGTGTGTGTTGATGTGCACTCATTCACAGTTTCAGTCAGTTCTCGTATGACTTCCTGCTCTGTGCCCAACAGCAGCGATCGAGAATCACCCCTCGAGCAGCTGATGGGTTAACAAGGGTGAGTGTATGTGCACAGCATCAAACAGCAATGAGTGCTTTGAGGGGGACTAATCTAGGGAAGGTGTCTAGGAACCATGAGGAGGCGATGAGGTGTGGCGGAGAGGTCAGGGAAGGCTCTCTCAGGAGATAACATTTGAGACATGCAAGTACCTGTGGGCAAAGAGGTCCAGGCAGAAGCACCAGCTAGTGCGCCATCCAAGGCAGGAGAGGTGGGGTGACAAGGACTGGCTGGGAGACCAACCAGGGGAAGGAGGCCTGGAGGCAAGAACAGAGGTTGGGTCCATACATGGAAGCCCACGGCCTATGACCTATAAAGACATGGGATTTTCCTGAGTGAGATGGAACCAGTGTGCAATTTTCAACTAGAGAGTCACATGTGCTTTGCTCTGAGATAATGCTTTCGTTAAATTTTGGAAAATAGACTGCGGAAAGAGGATGGTGGGTTGACTAGAGAGATGGCAGTTGGGGCTATAAGTATGATTTGGGATGTATTTTGAAATAGGACTTGTTATTGCAATTAAAATGCTAAGGTTCAATGAAATAAGTCAGTATGAATAGGTGGCGTGACTCTTGAAGAAGGATATACTTACATTTTGTGATTTGTAGAAAACTGACAAAGAATCAATTCACAGTCTAGTTGGGGCAGCAGGAGCCCAAATCCTTTAGTCAGTGGGGCCTGGACTACTGGCTCTTGTCTAATCTGAATCCCACTTCCTGATGGGTACCCAGAAGCATAGAGGTCCTCAATTAAATATGTCTTTCTGAATGTGGATGATAAAATTCAGATTTACCAACACATGCTCTCTTAAAGCACTATTCTAGCCTGCCTTCCACATTTCTACATATCCAGGCTGAGTGGCTCCTAACTTAGTGAATCCCATTCCCCTCAGAGGAAATAACTAAGAACGATTACACCTAAGTCATCAGGAGCATTATTATCTCTCCAAAGAATAAGAGAGCTGCAGACACTGTCACAGAGAGATATGACTTAAACAATACTAGGATGTAGGAAAAGGCCACTGCAGGTCCATCTGTGGAAGGGAGAAGCTGCCTCTGAAGACACTTGAAAGTTCCTAGACTGAGAGATATGTAAAAAATGCCCTGGATGTGGGTTTTGGGGATTTCTGAGGAAGATGCAGTGAATAAAAGTGGAATGGAGATGTGTGAGAAATACTCACTGGTCCGAACTCAATAAGTGGTCAGAGAGTCAAAAAGAACAACGGAGTGAGGCTTTAATGGCAGCCTTGCAAGATCAGGTGTCTGGTGAGCAGGCAGAGTTAGGGCCCTTACAAAAATCAATTTATTCTTTAGCACATGAATCCCTCCCCTGGTTCCTCATTGTCTAAGTACTGCAGGGTTCACATTCTCTCCCTGATGTTGCCTAAGCAAGTTATAGTCATATTAAGCTTTCTTTACATTTGTCTTAATTTTATTGGCTGGTTCAAAACTTTTTCTGCATTTTTCTGAAGTGATGTACAGCCCACACTTTCTAAATCTCCCTCCCCCTCCCAGCTGGAGCGACTCCCTGGTACATGTTCTGACACATAGGCTTCTTGTCAATACCCTTTTGTTTAAATGTTAATTCCTCTGGGAATAAATCACATTTAGTTTTATGCCATTCCTAACAGATGCCACACAGAGCTTGTGCTGTTAGCACAATATAAATGATTAGTGGGGCAGGCCCACCAGAAAACAAAGCATCCCACCCAGACAGGCTTGTCAACATGTACCTGACCAAAAACTTCTTCTTTCAGCAGAACCAAAGCCAGAGATCCATCCATGTGCCTCCTGCTCTCTGGCCTTCTCCAGTCAGAAATTCCTCAGCCAGCATGTAGAGCACAATCACCCCTCTCAGATCCTCTCACAAACAACTTCAGGAAAACATCTCCAACCAGAGGATCCTTGTCCAGGCCAACACAGCTGGAGTGACAAAGCTGAAGTTCTAGAGGTCAAAGAAAGGTCCAAACCTTTGCTTAAAAGTTTAAGGCAGAAGAGGATTTCAGGGGCCTTTTCCAACCCACCCAAAGGCCAAATGGGGTGCTCTAGGACACATAAAAGATTGATGGAGGCCAGCACAGACCAGAAAGTGAATCCAGAAGACACAGACAAACTATTTGTGGGGGTAGGAATGTCTGTAAGAGTCAAGTACAGAAGGTGTGGTCAAGGCTGCACTGATAGGTCCAATCTCATCCAACACGAGAGGACACACACGAGGGAGAAGCCCTATGTTTGCAGGGAGTGTGGGCGGGGCTTTACACAGACGTCAATTCTCATCCGACACGAGAGGACACACACGGGGGAGAAGCCCTATGTTTGCAGGGAGTGTGGGCGGGGCTTCACGCACACATCAAATCTTATCACACACGAGAGGACACACACCAGGGAGAAGCCCTGTGTTTCAGTTATGGTGAGTGAGCCATTACCAATAAATAACATCTCAACAATCACAGGAGAAAAAATGTAACCACACACACTCCATATGCATGCTGTGAAGGATCTTCAAAGGAAGCCTCTTGACCATTTACACTCCAATTATGAGTGCAAAATTAATTGATTGAAGAAATCTCTCAATTTCAGTAAAGAAATGAAGTAGACAAATGAGAGAGAAGTTCCTCAAGTGTTTTGGGGATGTTAACAACAATCCCCTACATGGCTTTTTGGCTTCCTGTTCCAATAAATTTTGTCTCCAAAAAAATCTGAAGTTCAGACCACATACTTCATTCCCCCCTTATCACTGAAAGTAGGGTCTGGAAGGACCACAGAGAACACAAACTCTCAGCCCAAGTCTCCACAGGAACTCAGGCCCTGGAAAGACATACGTCTGCAGTCAATCTGGGTAGGTCTTTGGAGAATTGATTAGTGGGCCCAGGGAGAGAAGTCTAGGATTTGAGACAGACTCATAAGGGAAGGTAATTCCCTGGTATCCTAGAAAATGTGGTGTTTTCTCCTAATAGACCCCTTCCCTCCACTGCCACCCTCCTCCCTTGCATTCTCCTGGCTCCACTCCTAGTTTCCTCAGACCACTGTAGCCTCATAGATGAAAGCCAGAAAGGGGTGTCTGCACACCCATGTGCCTGGCTCAGTCTGGGTCACCTCGTCTTCCTCTCTCTCTCCTTGCTGCCCCCTCAGCATCAGCATCTCATGGTGCATAGCATATGTACTCTGCATCAGACTACACTGGGTTCACGCTCTGATCAGACTATATTGAGCTCTGCTCTCACCAGCTATGTGGCCTATGGCTAGACATTCACTCTTTATGTGCCTGTTTTTTAATCTATGAACTGGTAACGTGGCACAGAGGGTGGCTGAGAATGCAAGTCAGTTCCTCATTGTCAGTCTCCAACTGCACCACTTCCAGTGCCTTTGACTTCCAGGTCTTTAGTGCTGGACAGGGGAAGACAGACAGGATAGGGGCTGGAGAGCCAAATTCAGAGACTAAACAGACACCACTGCTTTCTCTGCACAGACTGACTTCTCAGACTTCTCAGCTATCCTGAGAAGTAGTTGGGAGGTCAGGGATGCATCTGTCCTTCCCACTGAGCCTGGAAGCCTCAGAACCTCCCTCCACACAGGCAGGCAGAGCTGACAATAACATGTGAAGCCAGCCCCCGCCCACCCTTTGATAATCCAAATGAATTCTAGAGGAGGAGTAGAAAGAGGTCTGTTTCCTCTTCCGCCCCTTCAGCAATAACCCTCATTTCTAGGCTGACCACCAGCCTCAAAGGTGGCCAACAAATTCACCTCCTGTTTTCCACACTCTGGTACAGCATCCTCCTTCATGGAACAGGACTGACAGGTGTTGTGAAAGTGGTGTACGACTCCCTAGGTCATAGAAAGGCATTTGGCTTCAGCCTTGCAAAGCACCCTGTGCAAAGCAACTGGGAGTTCATATTATTTTAAATGTACGTTGAGCATTCACAAAGACAGACAACTACCTGGATCATCATACCAACCTAAAAGTCATGTGAAAGAATTGAAGTCATAGAATTACACTCTCTGATCATAATGGAATTGACTTAGGGTTAAATAACAGGAAATTAAAAAGAAAACCTCCAAATGTTTGTAAATAACATACTTCTAAATAACAAATGGCCAAGAAGTTAAAAAATATTTTGAACTGAATAAAAATTAAACCATATCACTAAATGTCCATCAGCAGATGAATGGATAAAGAAGATGTGGTACATTTACACAATGGAATATTATTAAGAAGAAAACAAATCCTACCATTTGCAACAACATGGATGGAGCTACAGGATATTATGCTCAGTGAAATAAGCCAGGCGGAGAGAGACAAGTATCAAATGATTTCACTCATCTGTGGAGTATAAGAACAAAGAAAAACTGAAGGAACAAAACAGCAGCAGAATCACAGAACCCAAGAATGGACTAACGGTTACCAAAGGGAAAGGGACTGAGGAGGATGGGTGGGAAGGGAGGGATAAGGGTGGGGAAAAAGAAAGGGGGCATTACGATTAGCATGTATAATGTAGGGGGGGCACGGGGAGGGCTGCGCAACACAGTGAAGACAAGTAGTGATTCTACAGCATCTTACTATGGGGATGGACACCGACTGTAATGGGGTGTAGTGGGGAGACTTGGTGAAGCGGGGAGCATAGTAAACATAATGTTCTTCATGTAATTGTAAACTAATGATAAAAAAATTTTAAACATTAAAACATATCAAAATTGGTGTGATTCAGCTGAAGCAGAACTTAGAGAAATTTACAGCATTACATGCTTAGATTAAGAAAAAAAGAAAGGTATCAAATCACTGATCTTTAAAAAACTTTTTTTTTAAAGGAGTAAAAATAAACCGAAATCAAACAGAAGGAAAAAAAATTAGCACAGAAATTGACAAAATTGAAAACAGAAAACTAATAGAGAAAAATCAATGAAATAAACTGGTTATTTGATATCAGTAAAATTCATAAATGTTAACAAAGAAGATCCAAATGATCAGTATCAGAAATGAATGAGATCTCAATACACACTCTGTTAAATATTAAAAAGATAATAAGGAAATACTATGAACGACTCAACACACATAAATATGACAACCCAGGTAAAAAGGACAAATTCCTTGAGAGAAAACTAACTCATCAAAGAGAAAATAGATAACCTGAAGAATGCTTTAATTATAAAGAAATGAATTCATATTTAAAAGCCTCTCGAAATTTTTTGCTCAGCCTAAACTCTATTAAACATTTAAAGATGAAATGATACCAGTTCTATACAAACTCTTCCGAAAAAGAGAAGAGGAAGGTACCCTTCGCAACTCATTTTTATAAAACTAGATTACCCTGATACCAAAGCCAGACAGGAATCCAGTATAAGAAAAGAAAACTATGGGTTAATATCTCTCATAAACATTGATACAAAGATCAAACAAAATCTTAGCAAACTGAGCTCAGAAGTATTTATGAAATCATATACTACAATCAGGTAGAGCTTCTCCTGAAAAGGCTAGCTGCTTCAATATTTGAAAAACATCAATCAGTGTAATCCACTATATTAATAAAAAACAACTACACAATCATACCAACTGATGCATAATTAGCATTTGAAAACCATGTCATCCATTAAACATTTTTAAAAAATTGTCTGTCAAAAAAGATGGAAAGAAACTTCCTGGGCCTCACAAAGATCACATAAAAAAAGCTGAAATGTTGTTTTATACTTCATGATAAAACACTGAAAGCTTTCCCCTGAAGATCAGGAACAAGGGAGGGATGTCCTCTCTCACCACTGTTATTTGAATTCTACTAGATTTCCTAGGCAGTATAATAAGGCAAGAATAAGAGATAGAAGACATATAGATTGGAAAAGAAGAAATAAAATTGTCTCTATTTGCAGATGACATGATTAAAACCAAAGAAGTAGACCAAAAACTTCTCCTAGAACTGAGTTAGTTAAGGTCACAGGACATCAAGATAAACCTCTTAAAATAATTTTATATCTATATACCAGCGATACCATTTCCAATAGCCCCAAAAATATTGAAATACTTAGGAATAAATTTAACAAAACATGAACAGGAACTGTAAGCTGAAAACTATAAAACACCAATGAAAGAAATTGAGGAAGAACTAAATATGGGAAGACAAATGTTCAGGACAGGAAGGCTCAACTCCCCAAACTGATGTATAGATTTAACTCAAATCCATGAGGTATGGGTCTGGGAGTTCATACACCTCTCCATCCAACTGTCAGCTGCTGGTAGCCAGAATGCTTGTTTGGAGAAGAGGCTCAGAGGTGATCCACTGGATTCCAAGTCTCCATCCCTGGCAAACTGCTGAGAAGGCCTTCGCTGAGGCCACTGTCCAGTGCCTCTAACACCTAGGAAGGCGTCCAAGACCTGCTGGCTTCCAGCACCTCCACATGACACTGTGATTGCCCTCATTGGGGCAGGTCGACAGTCCTTGGGCAAACACGCCACCAGCTGAAACGATGGGACACATAGCCAGCCTTCTGCATCACATACTAAACTCTGACCACAGCTATAGTCAGCCTCACCTGCTTTTGCTCTGCTTGTCTGCTGCCAGGTAAGGATGCTGTTGGCTTGCTTGGGCACCATAGCTGGCAGGTGAGGGGGTCACTCACCAGGACAGTCAGCCAAGAACTCAGAACAGCAGAGTACCCGACACAGCTGGGGTCTGGGCAAGCCTCACAGAGGGCCGAGAGCACATGACAGTCATTTGTCTGAAATTTGGTAAATTTCTCTTTGACCCCTGGACTCTGCCCTGCCTGGCCCAGGTCAGGTCCCAGTCTTATCAATCTGGCCTATGACCTCATTACCTGAACCAGTCTCCCTTGGGGAAGGGTGTTGCCCAGATATGCTGTCTTCACAGATCAAGCTTCTTAAAACTTACAGTAGAAAGTGTTTTAAAAACAGGTTTTTTCCAAGTAACAGGTTGTTAATCACATTACCAAGAGAAAACTCCTGTAATACTTTGAAATATACAATTTAAGACTTTTGCAAGTTCTCACATTTAATGGCAACAACTTTATTGTTCTTTTTCTTATAATATGCAGTTGTTTGTTTGTTTTAAAGTTTAGAAAATAAAAACCACCTGTGTCATAATCTGGAGGGAACATAGCACAGCAAATTAAAACTTTCTGTCCATCACACACAAACGTGCACTCACACAGACACACTGGCACTCTTTTGTTTTACAAACACTGTAGAGCCCCAATCTCTCTTCTCACTGGCCTCTTTTGCTTTATAAAGGAACTCGAACTCCTTCCCTTCACTCACATCATGGGTTGGGCTCTGGTTGAACCAACTGCCTCTTATTAGACAGAAAGGGTATTTCCAAAAAGAGTTTGTGAACCAGAACCTGGCTTAGTTTTGGTAGAGATTTAAATATGCAATGTGTCCAGGGCACAGAAGGTTCCCTGATATGGAGTGAGGGAGAACACTGCACCTTCACCCATGATGTCACAGTGTCCCGTCCCCCCCCCCCCCCCCGCATCTGCATCCCCTGCAGAGGATGGTGTTTGGACGGCCCTGGGGCCATGGCGGGGGAATCACTGTTTTCTGATGAGCAAAAGAGCAACACATCCCTGAATGGTGCCACTCAGGCTGGACCACAAAGCCTGCCCTGTGTCCTGATCCTCTTCTCATTGGTTTTGAGATGCCCCAGTGATGGGCTCCCGATGCACATCAGAAACTGGGCTTGGTGGTGGAAGATCAGGATGGCAGCAAACCCAAGGCCCTCCAGAAGGTCAGAGGCTTACGAGAGCAGCCTTACTGGGGGCCTTTACTCTGGTCTCAAATCCTCCTCTCAGGATGCTCTCTCTGGACACCAGAGGAGCTGACATTTCCCTAGGCCCACCTCAGTCTCAGGAGGCACAAGACAGACTGGGTTATCCCTCCCACAGCCTTAACAGAGTGCAACAAAGGCCCAATCCTAGAAAAGTTAGCTGAGGAATAGCAACGAGAGGACTCTGGTTTCATTCTGGGGGGTCCCTACAGAGAGAGCTATAGATTAACCTGACTGGAACCCTTCTTGGTAGGTCCTGTTTTAGTGTTGTCTTTAGGTCCACTTGGACAAGAACAAAGAAGTGCAGGTTTCTGCAGCCTCACTGGCCAGGGTGCAGACCTACCTCCTTGTGGTGTGTCTATCATGGACCAGGAAAGAGGGTGGCTGAAGGTCACAGTGTCCCTTGACAGACAGGAGGAATCCAGCTGTTGTGTTTTCTGTATGGCTTGATGGGGCACTGGCCAGAGGGCCAACGATCTTGTTTTCTAGATTGTCTATATTCAGAGAGCCACTAGATTTTTTAAGTTACTCATGAAACAGTTGTTGAGCAACTGCTATATTCTGGGTACTGTGCATGAGTGTTAAGAGGGTGCAGGTGCATAGAACTAGGTGCAGATCTCGGCTTTACAACTCATGGGCTAGCTCTGTGGTCATGGACAATTTCCAAGTCCCGCTGAAGTGATGATTCCATGAGATGCAGTCTTCTGAATTCAGAGTACGCAGCAGTAAGTGGAGGAATATGCATGTCATTATGGTTTCCACTGCTACTGTTAGCTAAGAGGTGCCTATTGAAGAGCTCCACTGTCGAGGTGCCTGCACTGCGTCGGGAAGAAAGCCGGGACACTGCAGCAAAGATGATGGTGTTGCCGGGCAGCCGTGTCTGGGGTTCTCTCCCTGGGCACCAGGTGAAACACTAGGAGAAACCTCAACCTGGACAGAGGAAGGTTTTTGACTCTGAACAAGAAACAATTCTCACACAGGTCAGACGAGTATAGGTAAGGAAGGAATTCTTTAGAACGAGAGTAGTAACGTACGGCAGCTGCTCTGCAGGCACCTGAGAACAAGGAGATGCAGACGGAAGGAGGGAAAGTTCATTGAACTCCTTCTCGGCATAGGGTGGATTCTCTCGCCAACTCCTAAAGCCAGGGTCAACCTGGTGTCCTGTGTCCACTTGGATCTTTGTGGCATGGGAACTAGCCCCTACCACCCCAGGATTTGGGGGATCCATGGAGCACAAAATGGAGTGAGAGTATGTTCTGAGAACTCCCTAAAGAAAGGAGATTTAGGGGCAGGCTCCTAAAAGCAGATCGCACAGCTGCAGTTCCATCCAGGTCACCAAGGGGACCTAAACTTGCAGGCCCAAATCAGAGTTCTCAGCAGCCCCTCCGTAATTATCAGGAGTAAAGCAGAGACAGAGTGAAGACTTGGAAATAGAATGAAATAGCCAAGACACAAAATGCAATAATTTTAGCAGGGAAATAGCTTCATGTAAAAGTACACAATTCAAGAAAGGAAAGTACAGGCATCCTTAGAGAGGAGGCACAATGAAAGGCTGGGGATTCTGTCTTTTAGGGCTTTCAAGAATGGGGAAAAGGGCGGAGGGGGTTTGTTGGGTGTAGGCTTGATTTGTGGTCTCATGATGTCTCTCTCCAGTGAAGGACACTATGTCCTCATCTATAGCAGGTCCTCTAGATAATTCTGTAAGATAGACTTTAAAAAGGGAATTTATTGATCCAGTTCCTCTCCAAGATAGTGGTTACCCTCAAGAAGTGGGGACATATCACTTAGGCCTGCTTGCCCTGCCCTAGGTAGGCTGTCGGTTGATTACTAAAGGCTATGTTGGAAATCTAAATTCTCAACTCCCTGCTTTTTAAAATGGAATCTTGACTTTAAAATGGTGTCTCACCTGTTTTTATTATGTCATTAATATCTCAGCTTTTTTGGAAAATTGATCATGATGCTTGTCCCGTGTCTCTGCCCTACTTCAATGGTACAGGGGGAGGGAGAGAAAGTGGTGAGAGAGAGCTGATCGGAGAGATGAGCAGGTCCTGTGATTGTACACAAGACCCAAATGGCAAGAGTATAGGACTGGAGCCAGCCTGCATCCGAACGCCTGTTTGTGGTCCTTTGATTCTCTGCAGCCCTGGGCGTTCTTGCCGCTCCCTCGCAGCCTCAGCTTCCCTTTGCTGTTGGGTTGATAATATGTGATTTACTTCTTACAGTGTCTGGCCCTGGGTACGTTCACTGTGCACGTTAGTTAAGACCCTTTAAATGTATGTCTCGAGGCATCTCGTGCAGCAGACTTGGCCACGGCACTCTGAGCCAGACCAAGACCCAAAGGAAGGCTCACTCGGCTCCTTCCTCCCCGTTCACCTCCCTAGAATGTTGCCATGATTCACAGATTCAAAGAAAGCTCGTGGCCAGGGTCCATATTCCACCCTTTAGGACAGAGAAAAGGGCTGAGGGAGGCCAACTGCCACCAAGCACGGGGCCAGAAATCACACCCATTGCTTCCTGTGGTTCTTTAGGACATGTCACGTGGTCATAAACAGCTCTAAGGGAGACAGGGACCTGTCACCTAGGGGGCAGTATGTGCCCAGCTGAAGCACTTTCTGTGCAGAAGGGAGAAAGTAAATGACAGGGAGGAAGGCTTAGCATGCTGCACGGAGCATTGCACCAGAAAAGCCCAAGGAGACACGGGATGCCCTCTGTAGTGGGCATACATCTTACACCTTGACATCTTACACCTCATACTGCGAATCTTCTAATCCTTTTGAAATGTTTCTGTACTTTATTATAACTTTGTTTGAAACCAAAGATGGGCCACTTGGATATTTATTACGACAATTTTCTGGTAAATAAAGGTCTAGAAGATGGAGCACCTGACTCTAACTTGCCTATAGGTCCCGAAAGGAGCCTGCGGGACAGCCTGGTCATCCTCTGAGTATCATACTAAAAACAGTCCAGTACATGGCCTCCACGTGCCTCAGTTTTCTCCTCTGTAAAATGAGGATAATAATACCTACATCACGATGTTGTTAGGACTGTGCGAGCTCATCTTTGTAATGTAGTCGAAGCTATAAGCGAATTTAAAGCATGACGCTGTCAATGCCCCCCTTTAACACACAGTTTTATGCCATGTCCTAGTCGCTATCCCAGGGGGCTGTTCATCTTATACACAACAGGGCCTCCTGCGTTCGAATGGGCTGTGGAGCTGGTGTGGCAGAGCTGATTTATTTAACTGTCCCTAGTGGGGACAGTCTGGTTGTTTCAGCTCTCCGGTACCCACAGCGTCTGCTAAAACAGGTGTGAGCTTTGGGGTTATCTCCTGTAAGCACACACCCTGACAAAGGTCATGTGCATTTAAATCTCAGGCATTTCTTACTTACGTACCGTGACCAGCACGTTCCCAACCTTTGGTAGTTGGGTCTCCTTCCGTGCCTTGGAGGAGCTTGATTCTTAACAAATGGTCCATGCTCACTCTCAAAGGAAAAAACGCTCTTTGGCAAGAAGAAAAACGGTCCCATATGCAGAGCTTAGACCTGTGGCTGGCTTAGATCAGTCAGCCAGCATCTGTGGTGCACGCCTTTCCAGATCTAAAATACAGAATGCCGTTTCTACTCATATCACGTAAAACGTGTTCTGTATGCGTGTTAGAGAATCGTAATAGAATCTGCGCCTGTTACGCTCAGATCCGTCTCTTGTTTTTCTCATTTCTGCCCAGCCGGGACCCGACCCTGGCGCTCTGTAGGGCCCCCAGAATCCTTGCCTTGGGGGACAGAGGCGCTGAGAGGAGGGGCAGGGCGCGGACAAGAACCGCCTCAGCCCATGGGACGATCCCACCTTGGGAGTGTCACTGCCCCTATTTTACAGGTGAGGAGACGCGGCCTGTCGGAGCGGTCAGAAACCAGTCCCTGACCTGCCCAGCCAACGGGCTTCCTTCCATTCAAATCGTGACTGCCCCGGGAAGAGAAAAATACGCTACTTCTGGGACTCCCAAGGGGAGTCCCCTCGCGCGCGCCCCCGACCTTCCGGCCCTGCAACCGCGGCGACTGGGCCAGACGGCGGCAAACCGGCTCCGCGCCGCCCCCCGCCGCCGCCGCCGACCCGCGCCGCGAGAAGCGCCCTTCCGAGGCCCGCCCGCCCCACCAGCCCCAGCCCCGCCCCCCGAGGGCACATCCACTCCACTTCCGGCCCCGGAAGGAGCCTCCGCCGCCGCAGCAGGTCCGTCTGGCCCGGCCACCCCTTCTGGGCCCCCACACGACAACGGGGTTCTTGGGGCCCCCCGGTGGGCGCCGGAGCGTGACGCACCCCCAGCCGGTCAGACACGTGGGCCCTGGGCCCAGGGGGGTGCCACGGTCGGGGGCCGGCCCCGGGAGGGTCCTGCGCCCCGCACCGCGCCCAACCTGGTTGTGGCGGGCGTGGAGGGTCCTCTGGCCACCTCGCGCGGTCCCGAGACCGGCCTGGCATGAGCTCGGGGGCCGCTTCGCGGCTGCGGGCGCTCCACGGACACCTGGGCTCCCCGGAGGTAGGGGCAGGTCCGGACGCAGGGATCCTGTCCCCTTGTCTGCCTGGGGCTAAAGTTCGCGTGGGGACAGAGCTGGGTTTCGGGGAGAACGAGGACCCTCCCACAGCCAGCAGTGACTGGCTGGAAGAAGGTGCTGAGAGGGGAGGCCTCTGTTCCGGAGATGCCCTTCGTGGCTGGGTGGAGGGGAGGGGTGCCCTAGTATGGGCAGGAGCAGGGAGCTGGTCGGCAATTTTGAGGTCGGGGAGCATTGTATTCAGTGTTAATACCACCGACTCATGGGGCTGACTCAGCAATTCCAACACCCACCCCAGGGTCCAAGGGCAGTTTGGGACTCTGTCCTCTGGGGCTGTTAACTCAAAGGTCGCTGCCTCACCGCAGGGCAGCTGGTACACAGAGGCTGGGCCCACCCTCTCAGCCCTGCCCTTCTCTCATGGCCCAGGGCACAGGGATGGAGTCGCTCAGCAGCCCACTGACCACGCACGTGCTGGACACTGCCTCCGGGCTCCCGGCCCAGGGCCTCTGCCTCCATCTGTCCAGGCTTGAGGAGCATGGCAAGCAGTGGACGGAGCTGAGGAGAAGGTAGGAGGGAGGTCTGGGGCAGGCCAGGAGTCCAGACCACCTCCCACAAGCCCAGGGCCCCTCCTGAGTCCCTGCCTGTGACAGGCCAGGGTGAAGGATCTGACGGCTGGCAAGTATGGGCGCTGAGGGCTGATAGCTGGGCTGACTGCTGACCACCTGGCAGTTTGATTCCCCTCTGCCTTAGGGCATGCACTCCCTGACTGACTGTAGGAGCCTATTTCACCAGGCTGTGTAGGTGAAATGCCAGGTCAGGGCCACAGAACATGCCAGTGCAGCCAGCCCCACACCAACAATGCAGCTGGGGCTGGAGCCAGAGTCTCCGATTCCCTGAAGCGCTGGGTTGGGTAAAGCCCACGGTGGGACGTCATGGCCGAAGCCCAGACTGCCACCCCGATGAAAGGGAGCCTCGTGCGAGGCAGCGCGCTGAACCCTCCTCTCTGCACCCTGTAGGCGGGCGCCACAGCCGCCCCTTTTACAGACTGGGAGACTGAAGCAGCAAGAGACGAGGTGCAAGCGGGGACGCCGCGCCTGGCGGCCAGCCCTCTGCTCCTAGCAGGCCCTGGCCCTGCCCCGGGCCCAGGCTAGCTGGCTTTGTGGCATCTGGCTGGCCCTCTGGAAGAGGCAGTCTTCCCCTGGGGGTGGGGGTGAGGGGTGGGCACCAGCAGTTCAGGACCTGAGGCTATGGAGCTCATCCGCTCCCAGTTAAGTCCTCACAAAAGCTGGGGGTCCAGGTCCCATTTAGTGGTCAGCTCTGGTCTTGAAAGAACACATGGAGGCCAGTGGTGGGGGTGTCATACAGATCCATTCCCAGCCACCATAATCTGCTGGCAAACGCCTGTCTTGGGAGTCACTGAACAGACAGACACTTGAAATTATGGGTGGTGGGAACGTGAGGTTTTCCTGGAAGCAACTAAGCAAAGCAACAGGCTCTCAGAACCTGCCAAATATTCAGATACTGTTGACAGGCCACCATGAGGAAGAGAGACCAAGTACAGTTATTGACCCAGAAAGCCATTCATTATATATTAAAAGAAAAATGCAGGATGAATAGTTATATAACATTCATTCTGTTTGTTTGTAAACAAATTTTTGTGCACAGAGAAAATCTGTAGGAATATATGCCAGTTATAAAGTGATTATTGCTTATGGGGCAGACTGTGGGTGGCTCTTTCCTTTTCTCCCTCTCTGTGTTGTGATTTCCTAAGACAGAGCAGTGTTGTCCCTGGACTGCTCCACAACTCCAGGCCCTAGAACTGTCCTGCTGCAGGGCTTGTCCACCCCTGCTCACCCAAGACCAAGTCAGGCTGTGGGGGCATCTGAGGCCACTGCAGGGTGGCTCCTCACCCCTCCCTGACTCTCCCTAGCTACACCAACTCAGATGGCCGCTGCCCAGGGCTCCTGCCACCAGGCCAGATGAAGGCAGGCACCTACAAGCTGTCCTTCGACACTGAGGGCTACTGGAAAAAGAGGGGACAGGAGAGCTTCTACCCATACGTGGAGGTGAGAGCCAGGGACGGAGGCTGTGAATCACCAGGCCCTGCAATGGGCAGGCTGGCCCGCCCCTCCTGCTTCTCCCAGGGTGGTGGCAGGCGGAGTTCCCCTGCTTTGAGCTCACAGAAGAAAGGTGTCTGGGGACTTTACCACAACCTATGCGTCCCTGCCCTGCCCCTGGGTGAGGCTGTGGGGGCAGGGCTAAGGGTAACCCAGGCACTGTGGACAGAGGTGTGCACCTGACCCTGTACAGGTGGACCCTTTGGGATCCTTACCTTTTCCGGTCCTCAACCATCAGCCCCATATGGCCCTTGGGGCTTCTGCCCCTCTCTGTTCCATTCCCTGGCCCACGCTGGGCTGCTGAATTGTCCCTTGGAACACTGGGGCCAGGTTGCTTATATGCTACATGCGGGCCCCTCACTGCTTCCCAATGCCTTCTCTGCTTCTCAGGTTGTTTTCACCATCACAAACGAGACCCACAGATTCCACGTACCCCTGCTGCTGAGCCCATGGTCCTACACCACTTACAGAGGGAGCTAGCGGCCAAGCCACCTTCTCTCTGGCTGACTGCCAAGTGGCCCACGAGCACCAGTCCCATCATCACGGCCCATTGAGCCACCCCCAGCCCTCAGCCGGGCTCTGTGTTCCTCATGGTACATCAGGTCAACTTCGCGTGTGACGGTTGAGCCCCATATTTCCAAGTGGTCGCTATGACTCAGGCGTCAATAAAGTTGGTGCTGGCTTCTGCAAGGCTGCTGCAGTCACTGGGCAGAGCTCGGCTGGTGGTGCCCTGCCCGGATGTGGGAGGAGAAGGGTGGGCATGCACACAGGATGGATAGATAGCATGGAAGAAAGTGGCCAGGGTTGTGGGCCTGGGATGCGTCTCCAGAGCCATGCACCTGAACACATAGCAAACATAAGAAACCTTCATTTGCCAACAATACACATCTGAAAACACATACACGCTGCCCTTGGTGCATGAAAAGTGTCATGTAGGGAATGGTCTCGGGTGGGAGCTATGTCGGGGTGCCCACGAGTCCTGCGGGGCCCTGACCTAGCGTCTGCCCAATCACAGCTGTCTCCAGGGGCTTGAAGCCCACGTTGTCCAGAGGGATCCCAAAGGCCAGAAGCTTCGCCTCATAGGTGCGCAGCAGGTCATTGTGGGCCTGTGGGGACAGAGCAGTGTCAGGAGGGAGCAGGGCCTCAGCTGTGGCTTGCCAGGGGCAGGGGCTGGCAATGCTGAAGCTGACCCTCACTCAGGCACACTCGACTGCATGGAGGGGGCTGGAGTGGGTGATAGTGGAAAACACTCAAGCTGACCTTTACTAGCTGCTCACTCTGTACCAGACTGGTCCTCAGCACTTCTGTGTGCATGGACTCAGGTGGCCCAGGATAGGAGATGCTGCCATTATCCCTGTTTCACAGATGGTGAAACAGACAGGAGGAGCAGACTTGGGGCAGAGCTGTGGTCTGAGCCCACTCCTGGCTCCTTGCCAAGCAGCTGTCCTTCAGGTCCATCATCCCTGACTTCCTGGGCATGGCCTTCTGTGTGCACATGCAAGCCCTCGCTGACCCTCCCAGCCTTATCTAATGGCATCTCTTTCTTGTCCCCAGAGAAGCACCACCAGCCGAGCACCTGTCCCAGAGAGGCTGAGGTCTGGCAGCAGCACTGGGAGGGCCAACACAAACAAGGTTTCTGGACCCCCTCAGGAAAGTGGATGTTTTTAAACTGACTTTCATTGTATCGTTGTAAGGGTTTGAAGAGTTGATGCAATGAAATGCTTGGAGACTGGCTTGACTCAGAGCAAAGGCCCAAAAGGCCTCACTATCCTCACCCCTGCCAGGAAAAGGTTATCTGGGCTTGAGGCTAGGCCCTGGCTGCTGCCCTTCTGTGGGACAGGGACCTCCTGGCGATCAGATACCAGGTTATGGAGATTGCCCCAAGAACAGCACATGCCAGTAAATGGCCCCAACTTTGTGCATCAGGGGACACACACCTAAGGGCAAGTGAAGACCCAGGAATATCTGGTCACCATGGAGCCCAGTGCCAGTGCCAGGCACTGCCAGTCCCATGGCCCAGGACTCTGGGCCGTAACATCCACCCAAAGGATCACAGGTGTATCTGAATCACACTCATGGGGTGGCTGCTCTTGGCAGATGCATGTGCAGGTAGCACCATGTCCACACTCCCCAGAGGCAAAGCCCAGATGGAGCTGTGAACTCAGAGATGGAGCCAGGGGCCCTGGGTGCAGGACCCAGGCCCCTTGGGCTCACGGGATAGAGGACAGCAGGGTCAAGGCACTCACTGCTCACCCCCACCGGCAGGCGGCCTCTGTGCTGAGGCAGATTTCTGGCATGGAAAGGGTGTGCACTTTTCACAGACGCACAAAAGGTGAAGGTTAGACCCTAACTCTCCAGATTGGAGGGCAGTGGGTGTTAGTCTGGGGAGCAAAAGAGGCCCCCTCCAGTCACCCCAGGTCACTGCTGGGGTCTGAAAGCAAGGATCAGACGGGGAGATGGGTAGGGATATGACCCAGACTATGGGACCCTGGGCAGGCACAAAGGGCCTTGGGCTAGTCTGTCCAGGCACCCTCCTCAGAGGGATAAATCGGGTGCAGTCTGCGGTGAGGGAGCAGCCCTGAGGGACAGTTGGAGGAGCACCCTCATACCTTGCAGACCCTGGCCAGCTCGTACTGCAAGTCCTTGATGGTGGTGTTCTTTGATTCCAGAATGTCCTGAGGAGAGAGGTAGGCCAGGAAGATGGGGTGGGTGGGGGCTGGGGGCATTGGCAGGGGACCTCAGATGACAGGGAGGAGTAGCCCGGCTCCACCAACACATAATCCACAGAGAGCGGCCAGTTGCACGGGACGGTGTTCAAGGGAGGCAGGGTCTGCCTCTCCATGAGCAAACGGTCCGAACAGTGAAAAGCGAGGCCTAGAGGTTGCAGAGTGGCAGGACTGCTGTGTTCTGGAGTCACTGATGCCAACCATGGCCCAGGGAAGCCCCCTGAGGCCGCTGGGACTCACCTCCACAAGGGGTTCCCTCCCACCAAGCCAGGTAACTGACCAGGAAAGGCAGGCTCACCCTCAGTCCCTGGGGAATATGCAGTGACCGTCATGGGTGGGACTGGTTTTTGTTTTTTGGGGTTTTTGCAGGGTGGTGGGATTTTTTTGGCATTTGCTTTTTAAGAGCTTACAAAAATGACAGGTTTTGGGGGCTTTTATCTATCGGTTTGAACAGGACTATTTTTTAGCCCACTCCTCGTGACTGCTGGCAACATAGGGCCTCATCAGGCTCCTCGACCCTTCTCAAGAGAGGCAGAAAAGCCCTCCCCTCGCTGACGGCCTCACTTCTTGCCTCCAGTGATCATGGTGCCTCACAGACACATAGCAACAACGACAGAGATGAGCCCCCAGGCCAGGACCACAGAGCTGCTACCTAGACGAAGCCCCTCCTAAGCACTGCACAACCCAGGCCCTGAGAGCCATCCCAGGTGACTTAGATCCCACAGGCCCACAGAGCATAGCCCCACCACTTCCTGATGAGCCGACTCCTGGTTTCAGCCAGAAGCAGGCGCAAGGCACCTCAGACTCCCTAGCCCCTCCTCGTCGGTGCCCACCTGCTCCCCTCCTGCCCTCCAGTTTCTGCCTGTGCCACAGTGGGCTCTCTCTGATCCAGTGTGCCCTGCCAGGAAGCTTCTGTGGTTCCCCACTGGCCCCAAACTCAGGCACAGCTGACAGGCTTCAGGATTGGCCCCCCCCCAGCTGGTTCTGCTCCCCTTAGCTCACAACGCGGGCAGCAGTACGAGGCTCACAAGTGTACAACAGCACCAAGTGGGAGCTGCAGGCCTCAGACAAAGGCCAGGCAGGGAGCAAGCCAGCCTGGAGTGCTTTAAATAAAGACTAGGTGACCTGACACGAAGTTTAATCTCTGGGACTGAGGGTCATGTGGGCAGAGGGGTTTCTGTTCCGCCAAGAATGGTGTTGACAAATCACCTTAAAAATGCTGCCTGTGCTATTTCTCAGAATAAAACACCTGAACAGACAGTGAGGTGACCCAGAAGGGAGGAAGATCAGAGACAGGTGCCTCCACACTGAAAGGATCTCTCTGAAACAAGCCAGCCTCCCCTGCCAGGCCTCTCAACAGAGACGTGGAGGCCAGCTGCATTTTCAGGCGCCGGCCCACACCTGTGTCTGTCTCGCAGGCCCCCAAGGGAGCTGAACCTGGGACTGCCTCAAGCCTGGCAGCTGTGGGTCATGCAGAGGGCCAGGACCCCAGCACCAGCCATGCCCCCTGGCAGCATCCAAGACCTTGTTCAGCATCACCCTTTCTTTCTGTAATGACCCCCAGTGAGGTCCAGGAAGCAGCTCCAGGTAAGAGATGACCTGCCAGGTGTTATCAGGGCTTCCGGCTGCTGGGTCAAAGGCAGCAGCCAGCAGCGGCCTGATCCTCTGCCAGCCCAGCTGGCCCATGGGAGCCGAGCCTCATCTCTCCTGTTTACTGCTGTCCCCCTGCCTAGAATGGCCCAGCACAGAGGAGCATTGCAAGTGACCATGGATGTGAGTGCACAGATGCTCTACCCTCTGCTCAGACCTAACTCCCTCTGGGAAGCCTTCCCCAGCACTCACCACAAAGGCATGCCCAGAGCCCTGCAATTCCCCCATCGTGACTGCCCACAGCCCAAACCAGCACATCTTAGCGCCATAGGCCAGCCACAATGGCAGCAGCCTTGGCTGAAAGCTCAGGAGACTCAGCCGTGTCTGGGGCCTGTGTCTGGGTTTGTCACCAGATGCACTAGGACCTCCAGTTGAGAGGTTTGGAGTAGCTCAAGAGACCCAGGATCATACTTTTCTTGAGAACTGGACAGGTAGTTGGCCTGGGGGCTAGAAGGTGCTGAGAGGTCAAGGTGGGAGTTGGGGAGGAGCTGAGGGACAAACCCATGAGAGCGAGCGAGCGTAGGAGCCTGATGGTGGCACACACAGGTCCCCATCCATGACCAGGTCAGCCAATGTCTCCAGTGGAATGAGAGGCTGGACATGCACAGGATTTTGCCAGGAGATGAGTGACAGCCACCAAATGGGGCAGGAGCAGGCGGCCAGCCCAGCCCGGCCCTAGGACCCTTCCGGGACTCACCTCCAGCCTGCAGGACACGAGGGTCAAAGCCGCGGGGTCCAGGTTGGAGGCGGCCAGTGCCTCGTTGAGCTGCACCTCCTTCTTCTCCACAGCAGTGCTCAGTGCCTGCAGCTTGCGTTCCAGCACCAGGTTCCTGAAGCCTGCTTTCTGCTGCACCTCCAGGATGGCCGCGGTGAACTTCCCGTAGAGCTCGTCCCGCTCCTGCTCCACCTGCAGGGGCAGGTTGTGATGGGTGACAAGGCCGCCTGCCCCAGGGGCACCCTCACTGGTGAACAGCTCCACCTACCTCTGCCCCTGGGCCAGAAACACCACTTCGTTAGAGCAACTGAGCCTGAACCCTAACCTTTCAGCAGTGCCCACCGGTGGGCACGTGGGTCTGTCTCTGCATACCCCTACTCTGTGGGACAGGATTACTGGTGCACAGCTGTCCACACCAGAAAGCAGGAGGAAACACTAACTGGGCCCACCTCTACTAAGAGGTTTCGGGAAGTACCGGGACACCCTGTTGTAAGAGCTCGAAAGGCCCCAGAAGGGTTGGGGCCAGCCCTGCCCTGAGTTTGGGCAATGGGCTCAGGACAGACACGTCCCTGAATGCCCCTATGTGAGATCCAGGGCCTAAAACTCCGGCAAGCAATGTTTGGGGTGGAGGCCTGGCCTCTTGAGGGCCCACTCCCCCTGCCAGCCCCCGATTTTAGAACCCCACATACGTCGACATGCCCCACAAAAGGCACATCTAGAGAACAGCCCTGGAGCCAACTGCCTGTCAGTCACTGAAAATGCTCTTGTCCTCCCCTCCGGCACTTTAGCTGGGCAGCGCAAAAGAACCGAGGCTGCGTAGGAAGGGAATACCTCTTGATCACTTCCCCAGAGGCCACCATGTGAACATCCGATATGACTCCTTCCAGAACAGTCTCTACATGTGCAAGTGTATTACTGCTGGAAGGAGAGGAGGATGGTGCTAAAGCCATGTAGAACCTTCTCTTTCCAACCACTGTGAAGGAATTCCTACATCTGTTTCCATCCACTTCCATGCCTTTGGTCTTTAAAACCTGTTGACTAATCTGCATCCTCAGTTTTCTAAGACTTAGACACATACCACAAACACATTCACATAGAAGAGCAGGTGACAGAGCACAGGCCTCTGCTCCCGTCCGCTTTCTCCTCCCCGACTCAATCCACCTGAACTCGCAAGGAGAGATGTCTCCCTGGCTTCCCTACGACCCTTCTGAGGCACCTTAGAAGAAGGTGAGTCTAGGGCTAGCAGATGATGGATGTTCCGGAGGACTTGGCCCATTCCTCCGTCGGTCTGTGACCGTGAATTCCAACTAGGTGGAGAAGGAACAATGACCTGTACCAACAAAGAGCTCAGAGTGATGGGCCTGCTCTGTCCTGTGATGAAGGGCCAACCCTTGGCAGAACTAGAAACTGCTCAGAGGCACGAAGTGTGCCAGTCACCAGCAATCTCAGAGCAGCACAATTTAATGAGACATTTTCCACCTAATCACTCAGCAATGTTTTGAATCAATTAGAGGTGGTGCAGGGGTGAGGTGGCCCCTGGGCCCTTTGGGTGGCATCATACTCAGAATAGCCCTCTGGGCAGATGCTATCCAAATTCTGAACCAAACCCTCTGGCCCAGCTACAAAGTGACTTTCAGAAACAGAAAGCTGAGTGAGGGTGACGTTGCTTAAAAGGTAACAGTGGCAGCCAAGGTCTGAAATGGATGTTTGTCCCAGGGGACTGGCTAAAGGATGCAGCCTTCTGACGGAGCGTCGGCCAGCCATCTGGAGAGACACACAGCACAGTGTGACGTTGGAAAGGCATCACGTTTGAGATGTGACCCCACTTGGGAAGCACCAAGTCACCCCTAGTAGGACATGCATGATGACATCTGCAAGGAGACTCGAAGCTATTACCCCCTCTGAGGCCCAATGTGGAGCGACAGGAGGGCCTCTTAGACCTCAGGATCCTCCAACTTCTCTACAATGCATACACAATACCTTAGTGCTTAGACACATGCACATACCTGAGAAAGACCCTTGCTGCGAGGGGCCAGAAGTAGGAGGTACAACTCTATACCAGAGAACCTACTCTTTGTGGGACCCCCAGGCCTTCTATAGAATGTACCACAGGTTTTAGCCTCTTATAAGCTGCCTGGAATGAGGGGTGGGCAACAGGATTCCTTCCCAGCTTTTAAACCCAGAAACCCAGCCACGGCATCAAGGTCCCAGCCTGCTGACTGCCAAGCCATCCCAGAGCCCAGAGCCTCCTAACCTTCATGAACCGCTGCTCCAGAATCTCATGCTCCCACTTCAGGCCCTTCAGCTCTTTCTCTGTCACTTTCAAACGTGCTTTTGTGCACTAGAGAGAAAATGGGGATGTGGGGGATAGAAAGCGTCCAGGTTCGGGCATCCCCATAATGCAGGCTCCTGGGAGATCTTCAGGAGGAAATGGCGCAAAGACACAGGAAGCTGAGTCCCACATGGCAGGCTGGTGAGACCTGCCTCCCAGAACATGCACCAACTTTACTGCGCCCCCAGGACACCAACCAGAGAAAGGTGAGATTCAGCCCCACCTCCTGCCCTAAGGGCCACGCCCTGATCTGGGCCTCAGGAGACATTTTGCTGATGCTCCTCCTTGTCCAAGCCCAGGGTAAGGTGCCGAGGAGGGAGATGAATTCTGGAGGAAACTCACAGCCAGAATCTGCTTGTCCCTCTCATAGTTCCGGAGCTTCTTCTGCATCTCGCTCATTTCATCCCGAGCCTCCTGGAGAGGGTCTGCCAGGCGCTTGTTCTGCATGGACACCTCTGTCATCTGCTTCTCAAGGTGGTCCTCCTTCTTGCGCATGTCCTCCATCTGCTCCTGTTGCACAAACCCAGGTGCAGGAAGGCTCAGCAGGCCTTCTGAGCGGGGGGCCCCAAGCTCTCCTGTGCAAAAGAACATTCCTGCAGCTGCAGGTGCACCAAAGATCTTGTTGTATAATCAGAGTATGTCTGCTTGGTTTTAGCTTATGCTGAACTTTCTAGGAATGCAGCTTTCAAGCAGAGAGTGTGCTTTGCTCAGGGTCTCCCAAGGGGTGGGCATTCTCCATCATGGAAACAAGACAGTGACACCCACCTGTGTGGGCCATGCTGTGGTTCTGAATGCAGCTGCATACAAGCCTTTACCTATCAAAATGCATGCTGTTTTATTAGGTCCCCTTCCACGCTACAGTTAGGGCTACATCTTGGTTGTTTTCAGCTACAGGCGTAGGAAGGTTACATTCTCTCACTGTGAATCTCAGTAGAGGACAGTGGAGGGACATTGTCAGGTATGTCTATCAGCAGAGGTGCTGGATCTGAGGGGGTTCAGCCCAGCCCAGCCAGCCCCTGTGCAGCACCTTGAGGGAGTTGATGAGGGCCAGATTGTTGAGGGTGATGTCGTTGTAGTAGTTCTTGATGTCTGCGAAGGCCTCCTCGTGGCGCTGCATCAGCATGTTGATCTGGCCGTTCTTCCTCTCCTCTACCTCATGGATCTCAGTCTTTCTCCGTAGGTCCAGCTCATCCCTAAGCATCTTCATCTTCTTATCATACTTGGCCTCAATTTCTGAAAGGCAGCAGCATACAGAGCAGCTTAGCAGAGGAAGAACAGGCGGGCCTGTAGCTACAAGAATAGATGGAACCTGTAAACAGGGCCCAAGAACACCCACCAGGATGAAAGCTGTGCCAACAAGCTCCGCCAAAGCACAGAATGGGCTTAGGTGGAACTTTTTCTGCAGATGCTCGCAGATGACACATCCAGCGCACACTGCTGTCTGCCTTCTTTTGCCTGCGGCAGGCATTGCTAATCAATCTCCGCACTAGGGCTCCCCAAGCAGAGTGTCAGCTGATCCCAATGGCCAGTCAACGTATGGGGCTTTATTAGTAAAGCAGACAGATTTCAGAAATGGGAGTCTCTTCAGGCCAGAAGCCACGAAAGAGACTGTTCTAAGCATGCTGCCCACAAGACTGAATAACTGCCTCCTACTTTTAACTGACGATTTGTGCCAGGAATGGGGAAGTGGGTGGTAATCACAGCCTCCCCAACTCGCATAGAAACAAGTTGTTCGAGATCCTGAGTGCCCCATCATCCTTGGAAACACGTACTCCCTCTCTGCACATATGGGCTGCTTCGACCCAATTATTTGCCCTGGAGGTGACTAAACCTCTGACGGCTGTCTTACAAGGTGCATGTGGGAAACTGACCTCGCACTTGCCTCTCAAAGTCATTCCGCATCTTGGTGGTCTCTTCTGTGTGTTTCTGCAGAGGCGGGAGCAGATGATCACTACATGACAGAGAAGCTGCCCCTGCTCCTCACTGGTATGGAGAAACCAGCTCGGTAAACCCTGCTGCTTCTTGGGGGCACTGGGCTCCCCTCATCCCTGACCTCATGGACCAACCTCCGAACAACACGATTTTGGTAACTTCCACATTCATAACTCACTCCCCTTGGCTAAAGTCCTTAGAGACTGAAGCAGGCATTGCTCGGGAACCCACCCACAGGCTGGAGGTCAGCGGCCACATCTACACAGGGCTGCAGACTCTCTCTAGGTGCCTGCTAACCTGCTTCATCTGTGGCCTGGAACAGCATTACAAATTATTTTAATTCTTATTACATATAAAAATGTTGAGGAAAAATTTAGATTATTTTTTGTAACAGTATTTTTATACAAAGGGGAACTCTGACCAAGTAACTACTCCATATCCAGGCCTCCAGTGAGCAGACAGCCTCTTATCACAAAATTCATTGGAAACCAGCCCGTTCTGTGCTTCTGTTAGGAAAGACCAAACATCTCCTGAGGGTCCAACAGTTCACTCTCAGGCTTTGCTGCAGAGTCTGCAATGTTGCTGATTCTTTTCCTGATTCAGCTGAGGCTCCGCTGCCTCCAGGCATGGAGCAACTGTACTGACAGTCTTCCACAGCCAGGAAGAACCTTTGCAAACCAAATTCAGACATACCCTCCCTCTACCCAAATCCCAAGGCTTTCTGACTCATCCAGGGTTAAAGGCCTGTCTCCATTGTGCCCTTTGGGTTCAAAAAGCCCTGGCCTGTCTCCCCAGCCTCCCTGCCCCTCCGGCCTTCTTGCTGGCTCACCCCCGTACTCCGGGCCTGGTCTCCTCCAGCCTGGCTTAGCCCCGACCTCCTTCCAGCCTGGGCTCAAACGCCATCTCCTCAGTGAGGCACTCCCAAAACTCCTTACAGAGAAAAGTAGAAGGCCCAGTCGGCCTTCACCTTAGCTCTTCCTACAGCAGCTGTGCCCACAGATGTACTGGCATCCAGTGTCAGAAACTCCTGTTTTGTCTTCCGTCTCATGTTTGTGTCTCCTTTTTGGACCGTCAGCCACGATGGGCAGTCATTTTGCCAGTTTTACTCCCTGTATGTCCCCAGAGATCAGAACAGGTCCTGGAATCTCCAGGCACCTAGCAAATTAATTTCAACCTCCTGGAACACTCCTGGCTCTCAGGACCAAAATGTCTCAAAAGCCAACCAGGTGCTCATGGCTAACTGCCATGGCCACCTAGGGGCTCACGTGCTAGACACTCTGATGATGTGTTTCTAAACACACCTGATGTGCTCCCTGGGAAAGCGGCTGGGTGTCAGGTGTCAGCAGCATGTGGCGAGGGACCCTGAGCTGGATTTTCCTTTTCGAAGTCAATTTGTTGCTCAAGTCTAGGACAGAATTCTGCTCTGGGCCCCCAAATAGGGTTTGTGTGGCTGAGTGTTTTTTAAAAAATTTTCAGTTAGTTGCCAAAACACGGTAGTTTTTCAACGAAAATACGAAGTTCCAGTTATTTCAAGTACACTGGAGCTCTCTGTCCCCAGCAACTGCTGCTGGGCACTCAACACCCTGGCACCTACCAGCCGCAGGTTCTTCACCACCACCTCACTGGCCAGCTCCTGCTCCTTGAGTTCAACCTTGAGTGCCCGCATGTCTTTGCGCAGCACACCCTCCTGAGTACGGTGCTCCTTCTGCGCCAGCTTCATGGCTACCGTGCCCTCGGCCTTCATCTCTGTCAGGTTGTTCTGATGCTCATACAGCAGGTGCTTCACCTTCTGCTTGTAGACCTGTAGGCAGGAGACAGTGCCTGCTCACCTGCACATGCACACACCAGCACATACCTGCTCACCTGCAGCACCTGCTCTTTTATTAAAAAATCCTTCAGGTTCCCAAGGTACAGGACACAAAGGGCTGTGATCCTCAAAGCAACAAGAGAAAACGACCTCTCGTCTTGGCCCTCGGCTCATCTGGTGACTCCGGAAGGGATTGACTCACCTTGATCTCAACCTGGTGCCTCTCCTCGGCCTCCTCCATCTCCCGGTCTTTGTTCCGCAGCGCAGCCTTCTTCTCCTCCAGCTGCCTCCGCGTGATCTCCCAGAAGGTGTGGATTTTGTCCCGCTCCAACTGGAAGTAGTTGCGCTCCTGCCGCTCCCGGTCCAGCTCCTCCCGGATGCGGCTGACGTGCTCCTCCACCTGACCGGGCAGAGTGGGGCCCACCCATTGCAAAGGGCGCATGAATGGAGAAAGGCAAGGGACGAAGAAGGAGGGGCCGCTCTCACTAAACCTAAGAGCTCAAAGAAGTTAAAATACGATGCTAGGAAGGCTGCAGGGACAGAACAGATTCAGCAGAAATCTCTTGAATTTGACCAATGATCAAAAAATGATTAAGTTCTTTCAACCATTCCTGAGAATTTATACTGAAGAAATTTCTCAAATGAATGCAGGATCTGTTCAAAGAGCTCGGCTACTGGGACAATGTGGTGTTGCAGCCCATTTCCCACACGGCCATCCCACTGACCTCTTCAAAACAATTGAACCCGGCACCCTCCGCTTAAATTGCCAGTGGTTTCCCTGTGTATAAAATGAAGGCGCTCTACAGAAGATGACTGGTTAGCCAGAGACGGGTAAGATTCCTCAAGGGAGGAACAACCTAAGACAGGCACAGTCGCAGGGGGCCCATCAGGTGAGGAATTGGGGATCAACAGAGGTGAGGCTTAGAACTTCACCCCCACTGTTTTGAGAGAAATCTTCTGCATCCGTGGATGTTCTATTGCCCTTGACTAGCTTGGAGTAACACTTAGTCTACAGGCACACACCTGATCATCTACATTTGCTCTCTTACAGCACTAAACTATGTTTTCTACCTTTATCTTGCATCTACCTACCACTTCCTGCATTTTACTAAAAATAATAATAATAAAGAGAGAAATGTGGTATCCACATATAGATCAAGTATAAAAATCGAACGAATATTCATATTTGAACTGATTGTTTATAGTTCATAATGCATGATCAAAACCGAAAGTTTCTGTGATGACTGCCCTTATACTTTTCACCATGTAACTTATTCACTATGTAAGAATTTGTTCTCCATGTAAGAACCTGTTCATTATGCTTCAGAAGATTGGAGACTGACGAAAATTATGCTTGGGGTGGATTAATGATTGTGCATTGAGCATTGACTCCCCTATGCAGAATTTTATTATTGTTAACAACCATTTGATCAATAAATATGAGATGCCCTCTCAAAAAACAAACAAACAAACAAACAAAAAATGAAGGTGCTCTACCATCATTCCAGGACTTCTCCCAAGCTCTCCAACTTCAGCTCATATGACTCTCAGTCTCCTTTGTATTTGTGTTTTATCTTAAACTACTGAAAGAAAGTAGGCGTTATTACCACCAACACATGGGAGGACACCAAGCCCTCAGGTCCAGGCCAGGTGCTCACAGGGCCAGTGGAGGTGCCACACAACTCATGTTGACCTCATGTTGTAGTTTTCAGGACACTTTTAATTTAAATTTTAAGTGTATAATTATGTTCTCTAGCCCTTAACTTCATCAACATGGATAAGTGGCTTAAAATAATTCCTAATGTTTAATGGTAAATAAAGCAAATAAGAATGCTATATATGCATGTACTGTGATAGCAACTCTGTACACCAGATGCATAAAAGAATGAGATTGAAACAGAATACAGAAAACCAAAAATAGCTTTTATATCAGAAAACATTTCCTTCCAAATTCCTAGCACCCTATAAAAAATTCATCATTGTGGAGGTTCTGCTTTTTTATGAAAATAAGTGTTGCACTTGAGAGCTTTGGATCTGATGAAATTATGGAAAAGGGGGAAGCAAACCCTGGCCTGGGCAGCACTGCAGGAGCCAGACCGAGGGGAAGAACACAAGGCTGAGGACAGCCATGAGTGCTGCAGTGGTCTGAACGAGGCTCACTGCCAACCGCCATGGAGATGGCTCCGGACAGCACCCACCCAGCTCGTCCGACCCAGGATTGGGCCAAGGCACAGGGTCCACCCTGCTCACCTGCTCTCTGCTCATGTCCTCCGGAGCGAGCTCGTCCACAGTCGAGGTACCTTTGGCTTTCCCTTTCTTCCCTTTCTTTTTGGGCGCCTTTGGTTAAAGAGATGATTAGGTTAGGAGGGGGTTCTGTCCAATGGCTTCATATGCTGGCTGGCTCTGATCCGCCCCCGAGGATCATCTGAGAGAAGCGTACCTGTTCCAGAGCCTCTACCACTGCTCGCTGTCTCATGCCCCCAACCCCCACCCCAGGGCGCATCATTCTGCCCTAAGGCTTCCCACAATTAATGTCATGGACATTCTCCACCAGCAGCTTTGGAGAAGCAAGAAGGAGAACTCTTCCTTTTCATAAGATAACGTTTTCTTCCTCAAAAAAGAAGGGGGAACTCTTCCAAATCCATTCCTTGGTATGTGGCAGAGCCCTCCTTGGTGTAGATGCAGAATTTACTTGGCCTCAAAAAAGGAAGAGCCCCAATACCACACAGTCAAATATTACCATGCTGGTTATAATGCTTGGGAATCACCATAAAGAAACCTGCAAGAAACTGCTGAGTGTGGAGAGAAACAGTGATCAAAGGCAGCAACATGAACCTCCCTTTCTCCAGATATAAAACTCCCTCTGAGAACCCTGGTCTAGAGAGCTACAGCAGACGGCATTCACAAAGGGCATTCTTCTGTAAATGGTTCACCATGAAACTGCTCATGGTGTCACGCTTGCTTTTAACAACTTCCACACAAGAGAACCTTATACCCCCACCCCTCACTCACCTCCCAAGGCCACTCACAAAGATCTTGACTTTCTCAGGCCTTGTCTTTCTGCCACCACTGCTCCCAACTTTCTGTGACCATGCTTTTGTGTAAGTGCATTCACATGTCTCTGTAACATTCTTATGTGGGTGTGTCTACATTTTTCTGTAACATTTTTATGATTACAAAAAAATTTTTACATGAAAATCTTAGAAAACCATAAGCAAAAAGAAAAGAGTCACAACTAGAAGCATTTTGGTGGCCTTTTTCCAGTTGCTTCTCAAAAGACCCACACCCTGAAATCTTCACTCCTAAAAAACATACTGTGTAAGATCAAAGATGGTGGCATGAAAGGTGAGACAGAAACCTCCTCCCAAAACCAAATATAATATGAAAATATAATTAATACAACTACTCCTGAAAGAGCTACAGGAAAGAAGGCTGCACCAGACTGCATACACCTGGAGAAAAGAGCAGACCTCACAAACAGGGTAACATACCAAAGCCGTGATCCAGCGAGACCCAAACCTTTCCCCCACCCCAGCTCACCAGCAGGAAGAAGAGAAACAGAGTGGGGAGGGAGTGGAGGCCTAGGACTGCTCAACACCCAGCCCTGGAGATCTGCTTTGGGATCCTGAACCTACATTGCACAGTGCTTGGCAGACTGGTGAGGTTGGAAAGCTAAGACAAGCAGAATACCTGGAGAGACTGAGTTTCCAGCTGCTTGCAGAAAACAGGTATCCACATCCTGCTGCTCTGGGACAAAAGAAAGGCGGGCAGTCCGAGAGACTTCCTAAAAGCGAGAGGACTGACAAAGGGACAAGGACTGCACAGAACTTACTATTCAGGAGAAAGGACAGGTGAACAAAATTGTCTGGGCATGCTCTGCCCAGCAGGTTGGTAACTCTCAGGAGCTTCAGTTGCTCCATCCCCATGGCTGGCTACACAGCTCCAAGGATGCCCACCATGATACGCAGCCTGCTGCTCCTTCTTCCCAGCAGGCATTGGCTTGCAAACTGGTTGCTCCGCCATTGCGCCAGGCAAGCCTGAGGGCAGCCTCGCCTACGGCAGCTACAGTGTATAGTATAGAGGCTCCTCCATGCACCCTAGGCCCACTGGCCCTGGCAGTGGAGGTAGGCACTGCAGCTGGGAAGCAGGAAAGAGCTCTTTCCTCCTGGCACCAGCACCACTTGCCTGCGACTCACACCATCACTCCAGGGGCTAAGCAGCTCCAAAGAGTAGAGCTTCTGGGCACTAGAGGGTGCCACATACAAATATGAAACATCAATTGGATTCAAGATGGCAGCGTGAGAGGTGAGACAGAGATCTCCTCCTAAAACCACATATAAAATGAAAATATAATTTAATACAACTAATCCTGAAAAAGCAACAGGAAAGAAGGCTGCACCAGACTGCATACACCTGGAGAAAAGAGCACACCTCATGAAACAGGGAAACATATCAGAGCCATGACCCGGTGGGGCCCAGGCCCCTCCCCCATCCCAGCTCACCAGCAGCAGGAGGAGAAACAAACACAGCGGGGAGGGAGCAGAGGCCTGGGACTGCTGAGTACCCAGCCCTGGAGACCTGCTCTGGGGGCATGAACCTACATAGCACGGTGCTTTGATGATTTAGTATGGTTGGAAAGTTAAGACAGGCAGAATACCTGGAAAGACAGAGATTCCAGCTGGTTGTGGAAAACAGGGATTCATATCCAACTAAGCAGGGTGGGCAGTCTGAGAGACTTCCTAAAAACAAGAGGGCTGATAAAGGGGCAAGGATTACACAGAGCTTATGGCTCAGGAGAAAGGACAGGTAGACAAAACTGTCTGGGTGCACTCTGCCCAGCACGTTGGGAGCTTAAACAATCTTCAGGCACTCCATCCCCCTGGCTGGATACATAGTTCCAAGCACCCCCCTCCACCGCCCGCCGCCACCATAATATACCACCTGCTGTGTCTTCCTGCCAGCTAGCCTGCACCTGGCTCAGGCACACAAACTGGCAACCCTTGCCCTGGTGTTAGGCCAGGAAGAGTGAAGCCCCGCCTACAGCAGCTACAAATACAAAGCATAGAGGCTTATATCTGTGTGTTTGGCCCAATGGTCTAGCAGTGGTGACAGGCATAGCAGCCGGGAAGCAGGGAACAGCTATTTCCTCCCCACAAGCACCAACACTACTCCCCTACAAACCCTGACATTACTCTAGGGGCTGAGCAGCTCCAGAGAGTATAACTTCTGGGCACTAGAGGGCACCACAGCCAAATTATGAAACGTCAAAAGACCTGGTCCAGAGTGAAATTATGAATACACCTGAGAAAGACTCAAATGAAATCAACTCATGAATCTTCCTGAAAAAGGTTTCAAAATAAAAATCATTAACATGCTTATGGAGGTACAGAAAAATATTCAAGAACCCAGGAACAATTTTAGGATAGAGATCCAATCATTGAAGAACACAATGGAAGGTATTAAAAGCAGATTAGATGCGGTGAAGGAGACAATGAATGAAATAGAAAATAGGGAAGAGGATCAACCAAGAATTAGGAGAAGTGCAAGTTGCAGCGCTCCAAAATCTTGCAACTATAGACTATCAACTGTTAAAAGAACACATGGGATGTGAACAGTTCCCAGGAATGTGTTGTTTTAATTTGTCTGATCTTTCTCAAAATATTCAAATTCAGTTAGACAATATCCATCATATCATTGATAAGTTTTCACAAATGCCTAGGGTGCCTAACTGGTTTTCTTGGTTTCACTGGATATGGCTGGTAATTGTAGGTCTGCTTTGGTTATGTAGCTGTATTCCTATTATGTTAATGTGTGT